GTAAATACTGTAGGACCATCAGTAGGTAACTGCACACAATTCTTTTTCTTCTAGTTGTATATTTTGTAGCAAGGTAAACATTTTGTGTGCAGGAAGTTGAATATCTATCTTTCCTTTGAAATCTGCAAAAGCAATTTGTAAAGTTAGGTTATTCTGTAGACACCATTGTAAATATCCTTGAGTCAAAGGAACGACAATCGTGTGTGGTTCTTGTCCACAAATCTCAATAATCCGATGTCTCCCCTTTATAATTAATTCTGAAATAATTTCAATTCAAGAAAATATGGTTTTTCAGGCCTGGTGAGCTAAAAAGATCCATTCTATTATTAACAAGTATTTATGACTCCCCTCCCATTGATATATGATCCCGAGGGGTTGTTTTTCTCGGTTTAAAATGCTAAGATTAATGTCAAGATTTTCTTTAATCCTAATAGCCTGACTCTGGGATATTATATCTGCTATCTGTTGTAATGCTTGTTTACCTTGAGGGGTCAATTGTCGAGGTGCCGTTAAGGTAGTGTCACCTCGTAACATTTCAAATAAAGGGGTCAGAAGCTCATTATCTATTCCCAACAGTGTTCGAACCCAATTGATTGTCCCCAGTAATTTTTGCACATTATTCAATGTTTCAATCTTGTCTGTGATTTCCAGTTTTTGTGGAACTATAGTTTTTCCTAAAATCTTCCAACCTAAATATTTCCATGGTTGCATTTTTTGTACCTTTTCTGGTGCTATTTTTAAACCAAAATCAGACAATTGTGTAGTCAATTCTTTGAGCTTTTTGGATAACTCTCTTTTCCCTGCTATCAAGATATCATCCATACAGTGATAAGTAATCAAGTCTGGATTTTGTTGCCTAAACCCTTTTAGAGCTTGGGATACATAGGATTGGCATACGGTTGGAGAATTTTTCATTCCTTGTGGCAGAACTACCCAATGATAACGTTCCACGGGTTCCTGTTTGTTTATGGTGGGGATAGAAAAGGCAAATTTTTCCGCATCTTTTGAGTCTAAATATATTGTAAA